AGGGCTAACATCGGGGGCCACCCCACCGCGGCCAGGATAAGTCCACTCGCCGGGCCGCCTGAGTTTCAAGTTGCTTCGCTCCCTCTCCTCGTATCGGGGACCGAGGCTGCGGGATAAGGGGTCCCCCCGGGGGGACGTCAGGGAAGTGGAGCAGTGGCTCCCAGACGCCCTTGGGTCGGGGCCTCGGAGGAGGCTGTGCAGGCGCAGGCCTGAGCCGGCTCCTCCTGCCCTCGCAGCCTCAAAGTGGAGTACGACAAGCTGGCGAACGAGAAGACGGAGATGCAGCGCCATTACGTGATGGTGAGAAGGGCCGGGGCCGTGGGCGGCGAGGGGCTGGGGAGCCTGGAGCCGCGTCCCCTTGCCTGGCTCGCCGCAGGGCAGCCCTGCAGGCGGGTGTCATCCGAGTGTGCCCTCCGACCCCTCCCCAGCCTCCCTTGGCCCCATCACTTGGAGGGAGGGTGGGTGAGAGGAGGAGCAGAAAGGGAAACCCAACCGCAGGCCAGGTACTTGTGTGCTACCTTTGTGCCCCTTTCATTCGCGTTTTGAAGGTTCCCCAGAGGGCTGGCTGCCCTGTCTTGGCTGGTAAGATAGGATTGTATCAGCCCACGTCTGGGTTGGTTGGAAATCTCCCCTAGAGACCTCCTGGGGCTGTTTGGAAACTTTGCTGCTTTGCAACCCTGGGATCTAGCCAGAGTGGGACTAAGCCCTCTGCCTACCCCTTGTCTTCCCAGGGGTTTCTGAGGAGCCTTTTAAAGCCTTCTGCCTCTACTCCTCTCTCAGGGACCCCCTAGCTGAGAATCTTGCCAGCCCTGGGCAGTACATAGACATCCCCTCCTTTCCCAGAGTCTGTTCCAGTGAGTTTAAATCTTCCCTTGGCGAAGAGGGCATGGAAAGTACTTAAGCCAGGCTCCCTGCACTGCTTTCCACATAAGAGACCTTCAACACATTGCTAAATAAATCTCAGAAGACGAGAGGGTCCCAGGGTGCAGATTGGTCCCTGGTGAACCCGCACCTTGTATAAACAGGATCTGTGGCCCAGGCAGTGCTTGCGGAAGGGGGGCCCAGCTCTCACACTGCTGCACTGGGATGTCCCGCTGTGATGGGAACAAGGCTCGCCGGTGGTCAGCTCTTCAGCCCCAGTAGCTGGCTTGGGGTTTGGTTTAAACTTGAGCAATGTATCATAAAAGCATCGCTTGGTCAAAACCTTCCGAAAAGCTGATTTCGGAAAGCGAGCAGGTTTCAGTGTCGTGCGTTAACGGCAGTTCTTCTTGCTTTCAGTACTACGAGATGTCCTATGGCTTGAACATTGAGATGCACAAGCAGGTGAGCGCTTTAAGCCACGTATCTCGTTTAAAACATCTGACACAATACGAGGATTTCTTTTAATGGCCCCTTCTTTTGAAAATGAGCCTAGTTCTTCTACTCCTTCTCCTCCTCCTTGACGAGTGATTGCATCCTCCCCTTGACACGCAGGGTCTGAGGCTTGGCCAATTCCGTGGATGTGTTGAGCTTTTACCATTTGAACTTGTGAAGTTTGTCCCGGTCTTCGATCTTGGTGGAGGGGAAAGGAGCAAAAGGGAAGTTTTCCCTTCAGGATCTGCTTTACAGACTCTTGAAACCTAGAGGTGGCTGGCTGCTTTTTTTAATCTGTTTTAATATAAAATTCTCAAGAGGAAAGGCAGAAGGGTTTGTGTGTGTGTGTGTATTGGGAAAAATGTGATGTTCTGCCTTGATAAGATTAAACTTCAAGAATCTTAAAAGCCAGGCTGAGCTGTCAAAATTTAAGGGAACAGGCCACCAACTGCTTAAAAATGTAAAGCCAGAATGAAACCCAACCCAAGGCCTTCCCTGTGTGAGAAAGCCTTCTCATCTCATCTTAATTTGAAGGCAGCCCCCGTCCTTCCCAGTTTCCAGAGAAGGAAGATGAAGCAGGGAGGTGAAGTAACATGCCCAGGGGCAGCCCAGCCAGGACTGCTGAGATGGCTGGGGGTTGAGCTCAGCTTTGAAACCCTGAAGCCAAACCAGTTTAGCTAGTGTGTCGGTGTTTGATGGATATGTAAACTGCCCTGTATTGTCACTCTTCTAATGACAGTCTGCCTCAAGCCGGGCAAATACAAGCACCTTTATCTCGGTGCCTATCAGTAACTCGTCCTGGGTGCTGGGCTGGGCTGTGGGCGAGGCCTGTTTGTGTATTTGTGTTCTGAGGAGAGGCTGCCTATAATTTGGCTTGGCCAGCGATTAGCGTTGCCTTGGCACGGATAAATGGCGCGGGCCGGTTGTTCTTTTTAACAATTGGTGTTCTTGAAATCTCAGAAGCCTGTTGACTCATTCTAGCCTTTGGTGACCGTGACTCGGATGGATTTTCTGCTCTAAAGTAACAGTGGTTTACAAGGTTTAAGTTTTGCTCTCTAAGGGGGCGGGGCCCAGGGCAGGTGACCTCTGGAGTGCTTGTCCATCGCGGCCGCCCCAGTGGCTCCGCAGAGAGCCTAGTTTGCTTTCCCCTGGGGGGGGGGAGGGTTTTTGAGTGATATGGGGGAGCGGGGCAGGGATCAGCTCCTTAGGGAGGCCCATGAAGGCTACCAGGCTTTTACTTCCTGACTCCACTCTGTACTAAGGCGGCTTCTCCCCAGGAGTCCGCGTGAGACCAGCTTTAGGGGGGCTGACTGGGTCTGACTCATCCCGCAGGAACGCGTGAAGTACAGCCAGGGTCCCTGGCGGGCAGGGACCGGGGGCTGCTACGCAAGGTGCCACCTCCTCCCTTTCTGCACCCCTTCTTTTCCTGCGCTTGGTGTCTTGGGTGTGTTTTAAGCAGGTAATTGCACCCAGGTTGAAAATTTACAGCAGCCGTTCTTCTAAGAGCTTCACAATTAAGGCATAATACGTCGATGCGTGTTGAGGTCTGCAGGAGTGGTGTTCCCCGTGTCTGTGAGTGGATGGTTCTTTGGCACAAAGAATCCACCTCGGCTGCTAGGGCGAAGCTGCGGCCTGGAGCCCTGGGGACGCTCTGAGCCCAGGAAGAGTGAACCTTCTTAACCCATTTACATGACGAGCAGCTGTGTGCGTCTGGGACTTCTGGCCGGTCCCCAGCCAGGCTCTTAGGGGGTGGATGCCTGAAGTTTGGCTCCAGGGTCCCAGTGACTCCTCTCAGCTGCCAGAGGCAGATAGAGGGACTCTGCCCTCTTTTTCTAGGCAACGAGACGGAGGCTTGGAGGCCAGGAGGGCAGAGCTGGGACTCCAGTCTGGGCCTGGGATTCCAGAACTAGTGGCCTCGCCCCGCGTGCCACTCACCTTTGCCCTCCAGCCCCCGCCCCGACTTGCTTCCCAGCAGGAATGTGTGCGCTCTGGGTGCACAGCCTTTGCAGGGTTTATGGTAATCTTGGAGTTGGTGAAATCACCCTGTGGCTGTGGAGGAACAAAGAGGCAAGGAGGTGAAGAAACCTGGCGCTGAGAAATGCAGGCCTGACCTCATGGGGCCCGCCACTCCCTGGGCGGGCGAGGGCTCTGCAGAAGAAAACCGGCCACTAATTGTAGCGTGGGTCTCGGGTGCACTTGGCGGATGGTGGTTAGGCCTGAGCAAACAAGTTTATCAGCTGACCTGTTTAGCGGTCGACTGGTGTTTTATCTGCACACACAATCAAGTGACTGGAGTGCTTGAATTATTCATGCAGTGTCCTGCCCTCTAGACTTGACTGTTCGTGTGATCACATCTGCCTGGAACAAACAGGCTGGATTCCTCATCTTGAGGCTCGGGTGGGGGTGGGGACTGTCTGTACTTTTATATAATAGACCGATCTCCAGAGCTAGCACCTTGGGAAGTGTGGCCGTCCTCAGTTCGCTTGCGTGCCCGCACACACACACACACACACACACCCCCCTTACCAGCACCACCACATATTTTTTTCAGAAGCTCTTTGCTGGCTCCGTGGGAAATGCCTGTTCATTGAGAACCTCAGGTCCTCCCAGATGGGCCTGAGTATTGACAGAGGGCAGCTGACAAGGTGCATCCGGCCCACTTTTATTTTACTGAGAGGTTAAACTCACCATGGCTGGCTCCCTTCCTGGCTGCTTCTCTGGTCTCCCTTGCGTTCCTTTTCCAAGTTGTCAGATCCCAGGGAAGCAGTGAATGGTTTCTCCTCCCTTCTCTGCCTCCCTCCTGAGTTGTGGCAAAGAGAGAATTACAGAATCACGGGCCGGCCCGAGGCTTTAAGAGGACACCCACGTCCACCAAGCGTCCAGTTCCAGGTGGAGTGGCGGGGCGATTCAGCAGGGCTGGGGAGGTGCCGACGGCCGGCTCGTCAGCTCCCATCCCATTCCCGCAGGGGCGGACGCTCTCCAGCGTCAGCCGCAGTCGCAGAGCCAGGCTGGAGGCGAGCACTGCCAGGGAGCTCTAGTGCACTGGCTTCGAGGCCCTGATGCTCCAAGAAGCTGAGGAGCTGGGGCGGGCCGTCTTTT